CCCCCCCCCCCCACCATCGGTCAGCCACCCGCAAACAGTTAACTGAAACACACGGCTTGAAACCTCAGGGGGAATCAAACTGTGCACTGCGCCCCTGTGCAATAACTCCCGATTGGGGTGGCTGGCCTTTGCCGAGCCGAGAGAACCCGAACGACGAGGCTGGCAGGATCTCAGGGGAATCTTCAGCTCCGCTGGCCATCGCGTGCTGCTGGTGGTCTCTGGCGACGCTGCCAGTCGAGACCCGGGGACGTCTCGGAAAGGGGCGCGGCCCCTTCCCACTGCCTGCACGTCCTCAAGTCCACGCACAGGGCTGGGACACTCTGTCCAGGACTCTCCTCGCATGTCCATCCCTGTTTCTTCCCATCAGCCCGCCACGATGTCCAAAACGGACAAAAATGTGCGCACAGTACGAACACGCATGTCTACACACACACACACAATAATCAACATCGCCCCTCGGAAAAAGCACAACCAGCAGCAGCTACCCGTCACTTAACCTGTCCTCAGGAAGCTCCGCCCCCGCGGTGCAGCGGGACGAGCATCACTGAGGCCGCGGTTCCAGGATCATGTGACCCAGGACGCGCCCCGAACACACCTGGACAGCACGTCGCTGCTGGGTGACCTCTCCTGACCCCGCCACCCTTCAGCAAATCGAAGAATCCGGAGGGGCCCCCGATACCGAGACGGGCCAGCTGGGGGATTGGGGGGACGATTGCAAGGCGCCCGCCTTCGTGTTCCTGTGGGTCGCCGCCACCCCGGGCCCCGAGCTCGATGACGCACGGCCGAACACGCTTGCGTTAAGAGTTACACGCACCCCGACTGCAATCGGACAACGAGCCCCCCGGTGTGATCTGCAGAACACAAAAGCATGACGCAAAACGAGAAAATATTTACCCGCTGCACAGTAATCAGGGTGCTCCGTGCTCTGTTCCTGCAAGGGAAGTAAACTGAGAGGCCCTACTTCTCATACTGTTGCGTACCCATGCAATCTGATCCCAGATCTATTCTT